CAAAAGATAGGGCCATCCACCAGCCAGTTTGTTATCACAGCAGCTATTCTAGCAACACGAGCCAGCTGAGGCCAACCAGAGTAAACCACATTTTTCTTACCCTGGTAGGTGCAAAGTGTGGTGAAAGAAAAATTGTAGTGCCTTCTTGGATTCAAAAAGTTAAAACACAGGAATTCTCTGAAGTGAGAGAATCTGAAGATTCATTAAGAGAAAGGCTATTACAAGCCCCATTAGGACCCACTCTAAACTGTCCATCTAATTCTCCAGGCAAATGAGCCCCCACTGTCACTTATATTTAGAATATGCTGGGAGAGATAAAACAGCCCACAATTGAATGCTTAAAGTCTCTGACATCTCCTTGAATAAATCATCGCAGGGCAAGACTGTCACCCTGCATCTTTGCTCTGCCTCCTAAATGGATGGGACCCCAACATTTCATTCTCCCCAGGGCAGGGAGTAGGGTGGGAGGTTCACAGAGAACAAAGAATGGTGACTCCCTTCCCCTTCCCCCTGCTAAGGACAGATGTAGTAAAAAATCCACACTGGAATGTTCACCTACTTTAAAATAGCAAACTGCAAACAGGTAGACTGCATGACAATTTCAAAGCTCCTAAATCTACACAAAGATGTGTCTATTAAAAGAACATGGAAATGAATCTATTAAAGAAAGGCCAAGTATGTGATTGATTACATTCACATATGCTCTCATTTTTAAAGCTACATTTATTTAGTGACTGTGTCCTTATAAAGACAAAGCTGGCTAATAGGGGCAGTTCTAATTTTTTTCATCTATCAAGTCACTGTTTCAAATAAAGAAAGAGATTTACGGTAACTGAAGAACACACAAATCACATACAAAAAAAAGCTAGCTATTTTATCCTTTCAGTGTGGTTAGTAAGGCTCCTTTGTGTCTACAAATTTCCCTGGGTGGTGCTGTTGCCAAGAAATTCTAATTCATGACAAGGGTTTCTGCAAATTGGGGACAGAGGCAAACCTGCAGATGGATGGACCCTACAGTTTGCTTTGTCTTTCTGGCTGAGACAGCACCTGGCTGCTCAGACCTGTAGAAGGCAGTGCAAATGCAAGATCTCACATAGAAGCAGCAATGTGGCTTCCACACCGAATCCCATCCCTGGTACCATGAGGTTGTTCCTGCAAGGCAACCATTTCTCTAGGTTGTCCTCTAGAGGTGCCTCGTACCAAAGGCCCTCATAAAAAGTATTTCAAGATGCCTGAAACCAAGATAAAATTGCAGTGCTGTGGGGACACTTCAGTCCTTACAGTAGCCAAGTATGCCATTAGTTTAAAACAATGGAGGAATGAGGGAGGAGGGAGGAATGTTCTATGATTTATTTATTTGTTTCCAGTAGCAGTGGAAAATTTTCTCCAAGCTAAAGGGAGGCCTGAAACTGACCCCATCTGCCAATTGTGAATCAGCATTAATAACGAACATAATTCCCTAAGAGTTTTCAAGTAAACATGCCATGATCCTCAATGACATGAAGCAAAGCTAAGTCCAAATAAGACTTAGTACATTGCTACTTGATCTATACTCATGAAACAGCAGCCTCACTGTAAATACATAAAAATTCTAAAAATCTTTGTATAGTAGAGAAGAAAATAATAGTATTTTATCAAATCCTTTTTATTCTCTAGGTCAGACAGGAGGCCCTCCCCAAGGAGACCTATAAACAGATCTTCCTCTATCCATCATCAAATGGTATCCTATAAGCTGTTCCAGCCACTGTCTTACCCTTGACTTTTGCCTGCTTTTGCTAAGACAGATCTTGGAAAATTTCCTGCAAGTTTCCAAAGAGCTTAAGATTGGTAGCTTTAAGAGTTGTGTATCACCTGAATTTCATAAAATAACAGGCCACGTAAGCACGGTGTAATTTACAGTTATGACAGGCAGAGATGATATTACTTGGGCCGAGTACTTAAGCATGCAGTCAGAGCCCAGAAATGGAGCGCTGTTAATGTAGGGTGTCCATTTGGATTTTAAAAGTATATCAGCAAGGCTTTTCAGAATTGGAGCCACATGTGGCTAATGCATCATGGCCTGAAAATCCAATGTCAAGATGATGATCTCCATGACAGGAGGTGGCCCTGTCACAGTCAATGACTTTGTCACAGACTCACTGACTATTAAGCAGGACAATTATCCTACATCCTAAGTTTAAAATAAAATCCCCTAAATAGTCCATCTTCAATTTCCTGATGCACAGATGTTCTTGGGTTTATCATCCAAGCCACCCTTTCTCTAGAAACCAAATCAGATGATCAGAATCTCCATATTTTGCTCATCTCCCTGAGGCCAGGTACACCGTTCACTTTAAGAAAAACATCTAATAATTACTCTTTATTTGACCTCTAAAATCTGATTATCCAAGAGCATCAGGAAACTTCCCCCTGCCTGGGGTTCTTTGTAGCAACCTTCTCAAGTTGTTTTGAGCAAACAGTCTCAACATTTCACCATCTGATGGTTGGTTTGGAACAAACAGTTCCGTATAACCACCACTACCCCTCACACTCAGAAACTGCAAGAGGATTTGGGGAGGAGGAGGAAGGAAGAGATAGAGTTAAAGGTTTCTGCCATTGCTCTATGTAGTGCAGCTGTGACTGGAGAGTTCTGAGCAGGAGGCTCCTGAGAGTGCTATCTTGCGCTTATAAAGTGCTTTTCCACAAGTTGCATTTCAGAAGGACCTGAAATAAGCATGCCTCTGAAATAACTTGGCCAAGAGCTTTAAGGTGAGGGTGCTTGGCAGTTGGAGGCAGTTAAGGCAAGGAATAAGCAGGGAACTCAGATGGTGAAAATCTCTTTGCCTGCAGACACTAAGCTGGAGATTCCAGTGAAAGGGGGGAGGAGTAGAGAGGGAGGGGGAGCGGGAGGGAGCAGAAGGAAGAGCTGAGTGGGACTCTGAGGAAACAATAGATGGAAGAGATCCTCTGATGGCCAAGCCCATGATGTTGCCTTGCAGATCTGGAGTTCCTCCCAGATCTCTCTTTTCTCGATCTCTCCAACCAGATCTAGAAAAGCAGGTCTTTTCAGGAGAGGCCTTCCCCGAAGCAATCTCTACTAACTGCAAAAACTTGAGCCAAAAACAAAGTTGTGTGATTCATCAGGAGGGAACGCTGTAACAAATAAAGCCAACTTTCTTCCCTCCGAAACTGCTCTGCTTAACAGTTAGTCACAAACAAGGGCTGCCTTGGGCAGGCTGACTAAATCAACAGATCCCCTTCCCTAACCTGTCTAGACAGTTGTTAATATGCAACTGATGTGACACCAGCGAGCTGACAGCATGAAATGAAGGCTATTTCAGAAATGAAATCCTGGCAACATTTTGGTTTAATTAGCATGTGAAAAAAGAAGAGGAAAAAGATTGATGGAGTGAGTGCCTTCATGAGAGATAGTCTTGTTAAAGATGCATTGAAGAAATGCTTTATGCTAAAAATGTATCAAGTGTGTTTACAGAGAGCCAAAGTCCAGAGTATCTGCCAGCATCCTTGAAGAGGAATGCATGTGCTGACACACAGACACCAGAAGCCAATACCTGGAGGAAAACTCACAGCTTCTAATCAGGAGAGAACAACAACTAGTAACAATGGTTCAGGCAGAGGATCCTTGTTGCCACTCCAGCTCCTTCTACCAAAAGCCAAACCTCTCTCGATGAAAGCAACAACTGTTACATCCCAGCCCCAAGCTGGCAAATCCTGCTTTGGATGCTGGCAGAGGAAATTCAGCCGTTCATTAGCCTTAACAAGCTGCTGTCACTGAGCCTGAGCGGAGAAGTTACATGAGCAGCCACACACCAAGCCTCTTGCAGCCCTCCCCAAGGGCAAGTGGCTTTCTGCAGCACCGACTGTACAAGTTCACACTTCCGATGTGCAAATCTGGACTGTCTTCCTGGACTTTCCATGGTGCACACTCCGGGGTTTTTAAATACCCGTGCTCCCCCCGCCCCCACCCACCATCTTCCCTGCAGAATGTCCCCTCAGCAGCTCCTAATCGCTGCTGGAAAAACCACCGTTTCCGCAGCAGACCCAGCCCTTTTCACTGACCAGCACTTTACTGGACTTCACAAAGCCCGGTGAACTTGTCCCCAGCCCCGCTTCATCCTCGCTGGGACACCTAGCCAACTTAGTGTCCGTGCCCTCAGCATCCTAGGAGTTTCCTAACTAGTCCTCTAAGACAGAGTCCCGGGCATGGAAGCACATGCCACCCTTTGTCCGAGCTTGTGCCATCTAACTGGAGAGGGACCCCAGTGAGAGAGGAGAGGAGAGAGAGAGAGAGAGAGAGAGAAGGGCAGGGGCAAAGGGTGTTTTCTCTCCGGAGGCATTACACCGGGGAAGCCCAGGATGCATTGTCAGCCCAAGACAGACACATCTTCCATCCTCCTTGTAGATATCCCTGAGTATCTTTTGTCACTTGCTCTGCTGCCTTCTGCCCACGTTCTAATCTCAAAAGCAAGCTCCTATTCCTTTATTGACATTAGCTCCTTACCGGGAAAACACTCCTGCCCCAACATCCCCCACCCCCATCTGACAGTCGTCAGCACCAGTTGAAAGAGATGAACCTGATTAAGGTACCAAGAAGGTAGAGCTCCTGCATGTACGGACGTGGTATCCTGTCAGCGATCGCTCCTAAAACCCCAAACCCCCTTCCCACCCGGCTCCTCCGAACCCCAGAAGTTCGGCAGATCTGTTCGGGGAGGGGGGTGGGTGACAGGGAGCCCCCACAACGTGTGCGCAAGGATGTGTGTTGGTGACTGAAACGCAGGCAGCTGGGACCCGCTGCTCCGCAAAGCACACTACCGGTACTGGGGCCGGTGGAGAGGTAAGCGCATAGGACTGTTGCAGAAAACATTTTAAACAAAATACAGTCCAAAGAGATATAAAAGAAAAATAAAATGAACAAACAAAAATTCAACCCCAGCCCACACCAACGCAGCCCCTTCGTCTCCACCGACACACGATTTACACAAGTAATTTAAATCATTCACCTGCTGCCAGGTCTCCTCCAGGGATGGCAAAGCTGAGAAGTAGCCGGTGTCGTGGACAAGTTGTAGCTCCTGGAATATACTATAACTAGCCAACACGTCCATGCTGCTGCCGCCGGGCACAACGCGAGGAGACACCCTCCCCCGGACACAGTCGGGGCTGTTTGTTTGTCAGTCTGTCTGGCTCACCCCCCAAGAAGGCAGACATCCAGTGGCCCTTTTGTTTTTGTTTTGTTTCAGTCAACTATAAAGGAAAAAAAAAATCAATGCAGGAGAGAGGGAGCGAGGAGGTGAGAGAGGAGAGAGTGAGCGGGGTGGATGGAGCGAGGCATCCAGCGTGTACAGTGCAGACGGCTGCCAGGAAAGGGGACTTCACGGGAGTAACAATTCCCTTCCAGGGCTCTGATCACTCCGGCGCGTGGATCAGGACGGGGGATGCAAACTCACTGACACGAAGCTGCCATCTATTTCTGCAGCGCTGTTCGCTCCTAATGCAATCTTTGCTCTTTATTTTGGGAGGTTGCATTTTTTTTTCTCGCGATCGCTTCTCTCTCCCCCCCTTCCCTTCCCTCCCCACCCCCCACCCCAGCCTTGCTAGTTTGTAGTCTCTCCCCCCTCCCCTTTTCTCCTCCTCCTGCTCTTCCCCCTCCCCAAACTCCCTCCCTCCGCCCAGCTCTGCGCGCAGCCGTGGGATCTCGGAGGAGGGCGTCTATTAGGCCGCGTGTGACCATGTAAGGTAAACAGGGGGCTCATGAAGTCACTCAGGGCCAATGGGGAGCGCGGAGCGGGGCCCGGGGCGGAGCCTGGCCCCGGCGGCGGGCACCGATTGGCGCGCTGCGGATCTCCCTGCTGCCTTACAAGGCGGCGCGATGCGAGCTATTTTTAGAGGGCTATATAAGGGGGTTGAGGCGGCCGCGCCGCGGCCGGGGAGCGTGAGCGCGAGGGACGGGGCGGGCTGCGGCGACGCTCGCGCCGGCTCCCGGGACGCCGAAGCGGCCGGGCTCGGGCTGCGCGCCGGCCTCCGACCCGCGCCCTGGTGCCCGACGGAGCCCCGCGCGCTCGCAGCCTGCGCCCCTAGGCGGGCAAGGAGTCGCGCGCTGCCGTAGTGGCCCTGACGCGACCGGGCAGGAGAGAGCTGGGTTAGGGAGGCTTCCTGCAGAACCGGGCTGGGAGGCGCGGGGAAGCCGGCGGGGGCGAGGACATGTCCCACCCCGCCTCCTGCCGTGGCCCTGGCGGGCGACCGCGAGCGAGAGGCGGCGCCAAGGAGGTCCTCACATACTCATAAACAAACAGAAAAGGGAGGAAAGGCACCAAAAGTCCCTTCACGAATTCCTCACGGCTGCCATGGTGCAGGGCAGCAGCGCCTGAGGAGGAAGTGCCACACAATGGCAGAGAACAAAGGCGAGCGGTGTGAGGAGAGCCGCCTGCGCCCGCCCCCGCGCCGCGCGCTGTCCCCGCCCCGTGCGCGCGCCCGCCACTTCCCGCGCGCTCCTTCCGACCCGGCCGGGGTGACTGCGAGGGGCGCTAGGGCTTGAGGGCGGTGTCGGAGACTGGGGGTGGCGGGGCCTTGCTGTGTGGCTCTCGGCCGCGGTGTCTGCACGCTGCGTTGGGGCGAGGAGCCTCAGGAGCCGGCGCATAGACACAAATAGGAGACATGGTGTTAGCTGAGCTGTGAGGGCTGACCAAGGGCTTGCTTGACCTTAAATGGTTAGTGTTGGTTCAAGCTTCCCCCAAATGCACTGTGAACAGAACTTCTACTTTTTGAAAGATTGCAGAATTTTGTACTTCGTTCTAGCCATAACGGAAGGAAACACATACACCTTAATCCACTTCCTCCTGTCGCCTTCCTTTCACTACATGGGACTTGGTATCACAATATGGGAAAGATTCTGCTTTGTGGAACAACTTGAAATTTAGTATTTACCAGGGAAAATGAAACAGGAATAACTGGAATGGAGGAATGTCTGACTAATTTACTTGTTAGCATCTGGAATTCTGGTTGGTCAGATTTACAGCATTCGTTGTGTAATTTGTGATTTTAATAAAATGATGGCTGTGTAGGATGTCCAGGGAGGCTCCTCTTTACCGGTTGTGTGACTTTCAGTAAATTAACAGATCAGAGCTTCTGCCTGCCACTGTAAGAAACCAGAATACTTGGACCCATGGGGGCCGAGGTGGGGGCATATCAGAATCTTAGAGACGGCAGGGAGAGGAGGTAGAAAGCCCTTGCTGCTTACTTATAAGGTCCTCTCTCCTGCACCCCCACACCATACTAGTAGGATAGGGAAATGGGCAGAAGGCCATTGAGAAGCACAGGACGGAAGCTATGTTCATAGAAGGAAATTCCATAAAGGAGGCAAAAGACGGGGCAAGAACAAAGTATCTGATTTGGTGTTGGAGACTCAAGTGAGCTTTTTTGTGAGCGTGTTACGTTGTTACCATTTTGGTACAAATAGAAACATGCTTGCTATCGTGTGAATTTAAAGATTTCAATAATAGCTGTTGGCCATTTATTAGGTACTTAGAATATTCTGTATATACCCAAATTTTCCTATGCGATGGTTCATTGAATCTCAGGAGAACCCCAAGATAGGCACTTTCACTATCCCCCAGTTCTGTGGCAGAAGACACCAGGTTTGGATATAACCAGTAAGTTTGTTGGTCCCACAGTCAGGAAGTGGTCAAACTGGGGTTCAATCAGAAGCATCTGAATCCTAGGACTGGGGGACTGCTCCAGGCTTTTTGAGGCATTTATAAAAATTGGAAGGGAGCCTGGAGGAGTTCTGTTGAACTTTTCCCATGTAGATGTTAGCCATCCAACTTACAAAGGAACTCAACTAAAATTTTACAAAATAAATCCTGAAAATCCCGTTATAACCAGTTTTAGAAGGTTTGAAGAATATTTCAGAATTGGTTCTAAGAGATTTATGCAGCAAGGTGTTCCAAAAGGCATATTTTCAATAGTAGTCACACTTACTTACTTTTTCTAACCTAAAGACCCTGGGTTCATATTGCAAAACACATGCAAAGTATCCACATGTATGCAACAATCAACAAATTAAAATCACAAAGGAACTCTGGCAATCAAGTGAACCCAAAAAAGCAGCACTGTTACGACTACCACATATTAAATGACTTCTCAGTGCACACATTCATATCAGATCTTCACAACTATGTTGGGAAGCTACCACTGCTCCATTTTATATAGGTGAAAATACTGATGTTCAGAGAAGGCATATAATTTGCCCTCTATTATGTCTATTGTGTGGCAAATGCAGATTCAAATATAGGTCTGCCACCAAGTTCACTATGAGGTCTGTCTCCTCTACAGCATTGCTTTGGAGGACATTGATAATACTTCTAATAATATTATCCTTTGGAAGTAATGCTATAGGAAATAGTAGTAACTTGTAAGTTACTTCCCAAGGACTTAGAAATGAAGATAGTTTAGCTAAAATAATAAAGTTTCATACTTAAACAGAAACAAGGCATTGTTTCTTCCCACCAGGAAAGCTCTGCTTCATTAGTCAGGAAGCCCCATTATCCTGATGTGAATGGTACCAGGAAAGCCCCCTCAAAGGAAATCTTAAAACATGGGCCAAATTGCAGAGCAATTAGTTAAAAAAAAGATTTGCTTAGGACTTCATTTGGAAATAAAACTCTATGCTATTGAAATGCATTTATTCTCTACTATATCAACACAATTTATGTTGTTAAGCATAGCCATGTGCTAATTGAATTAATGAATAAATATTAAATCAAGAAACTTATTGTTGGCTTAATTTTGCCTACAGAATATAGCACCTGCTGGGGTTGAGAGCACCACACTCCAAAGTTTGTCACCTCAGATTGCTGAATATTTTGAGATGTAGGAGACTGGGAGAACTACAGAAGCAAGATGGTCTCTGATCTTCCCCTGGTCATTTAAGAGTTGTTTCTTCCATGAAGCTGTTCATGAAAACTAGAACCCTGTTTGGAAGCAAGTCATACAACCTAGGAAGGTCACTCTTCAATTTCCTTCCTTCTCCCTTGAAGATCCACCCTCATGTGACAGGTGTCCTGCTCGGCACCCACCCCCAGGCCAAGAAGAGTCTGAACAAATAAGCCTTGCTAAGTTCTGCCACCACCCCAGGCTTATTTCCCTTAGATCATGCCTCCTTTTGGCAATCATACTTCTACATGACTTCCATTCTTCATCAAACCTAAGCATAAAAATATACACTTTCCCCTGAGGGTTTGGGTCTTCATATCTGAAGTCTCTCATGCCAATGTAAAACTTTAATTAAATTTGTTATGCTTTCTCTTGTGAACCTGTGTTTTGTTATAGGAGTGTCAGCCATGAATTTGCGATGAGTGAAGACAAGATATTATTTTGCTCCTCTACACACCTTACAACAGGCTTTATTTCATATTTGACTTTCTTTTTTTAAATTTTTTTTCATAATTGACTTTCACAGCATGATCAAAAAGGGTCATTTTGTAAAAAATGTTAGAGAGCTGCCTAAGTTCTCCCAAAGGTCTCAGTTCTTTGATATTCAAAGTATGTTGAAGCAACAATAGAGTCATCACCAGTGTTGATTATACCTTCATTGTTAGTTTAATTCTAGATTCTCTTTTGCCACTGGTTTTATCAACCTCACTTTCACTGATACCCTGAAACCTTAAACTTGAGGCAAGATTTCCAATAGAATTGTATGTATTTGCACTGTAATGTAAATTTTGCCACCACAGGGTATGAATAGAACAGTATTTCATGTTCTAAGGACTTCTGCTTCCTACACTATCTTACTCTAATGGAAGAAAGTGTGAACTTAGGGAGCCTTTACGTCATAGAAAACAATTGTCAATGAGGTGTGGGCTGTTAAGTAAGATATCCGAAAGACATACTTTAAATTGAGGGAGAAAATGCATATGTGGCCACTTGAGAATTTTTTCATGATTGAGGAAAAAAAGGGGGTGGGGTGTCTTCATCAGGCCTCTCCTATCTTGGATAAAATATTTCCCAAGAGTACACAATTCTTTGTTTTCATTCTGTGCTCACTTTCTGCTCATAACTTGACTTCCCACTTGTTCTGCCTGCAGGGAAAGAATGTACTGGTTGTAATCACAAGAGCCTGGTCACTGTGACACTACTTCTTGTTATTGTCAATTAATACAAAGAGATTTTAGTTACATGTTTGCCTCTTGTGAATTTAGTTAGCCAAGGTCTGATCTGACTTCCTGGGGTCTTCAATTTTGAGACCTGACATGCTGAGGTTCAGGACATGGTGGGCTTAACTAAAATTAGTCTTGAAGAATTAATCAAGAATTCTTGGCAGGTAACCTGCTGATCTTCCCCAGAAAAGATCTGAGTCTTGCTATTGGAGTTTAGAGATCTGTGGGTAGGTTATACTCTAATAAAATATATGTTTATTTTAAAATAAAATGCCAAAGCCCACCCTGAAGATTGAAATGTGATTGTAGTGGGGTCAAATAAAATGAGTAAAGGAACAACTTGGAGCTGGTGCTGTGGTGTAGTGGGTAAAGCCACTGCCTGCAGTGCCAGCATCCCATATAGGCGCCGGTTCAAGTCCCGGTTGCTCCACTTCCAATCCAGCTCTTTGCTATGACCTGGGAAAGCAGTGGAAGATGGCCCAGATGCTTGGGCTCCTGCACCTGTGTGAGAGACCCAAAGGAAGCTCCTGGCTCCTGGCTTTGGATTGGCATAGCTCTGGCCGTTTTGGCCAATTGGGAAGTGAACCAGTGGATGGACGACCTCTCTACCTCTCTCTCTGCCTCTCCTTCTCTCTCTATGTAACTCTGACTTTCAAATAAATAAATAAATCTTTAAAAAAAAAAAAAGGAACAACCTGATGTGCTGTTAATGATGGGCTTGTAGGCCAGGGAGAACATTTGCCTCTTCTCTCTAACTCCAGTGATCTACCACTTGACAAAAATTTGCTCAGGACAAGAATAAATGTAAGAAATTCAAGTACTCAGCAAAAGTTCACTGTCAAGAATGTTGTGCTAGACCCTAGAGCATTGAACATTTAGTGTTACTGTGACTTGTGCTACTTGATTCCTATGGAAATTAATATCAATAGGCACATTTCTGGCTTGAATTACCATGATTTAGAAGTGTCAGTATCCTTGAATGAAAAACAAAAATCATCATTTAAATTCAACCAGTCATTCAACATGTTACATAAAATATTCAGCCATTTGACATATGCTATATAGAGCACAAGGGTTGAAAATAAGATGCTAAACACTGAACACTGCTGATGTCACATAGTAGTGCTATATCTTAGAAGTCAGAAATGCACACAAAGTGTCCAGTCCAGCCTTCATCAGATCCACCACTTCCCTTGGCAATATTCCTTCCAGGAGACACACAGTTCCTCCAACGATGGGAAAATCCCAGTAGGCGCTGAGATGTACCTCTGAGACGGAGTCCAGTCTGACTGGCCACTTAGGATTAGCATCTCAAGCTATTCAGGGGATTCCAGACAAAGATTTTGGGAAAGAAACCAGTAAGAAACAAAAAAGATTTCTAAGAACTAATTTTAAAGAATAATTGCCTTTTCTATACAATGATAAAAATGCCAAGATAGTTGTGAAACTAGTAAAAAGGTAAGTTGCTAATGTTTTACAGAGTACTGCCATTCATAGTATGTGAGGCACAGTTTGTAAGACTGTGTTGTGTTCATCTAGAGCATTTTTGTTGTGATATGTTGAATACAACACAGTGTTACTGTCAATATATTGAATATCACTGTCAATGTTTTATCAGAACAGTATCATTTTTCTTTTAAGTGCGCCATTTCCAAAGGATTTGGTATGCAGTAAATGGGATTGAAACAGCAGACTGCCCTCAGATTTTGTAATGGAAATCAATGGGAGAATCAGATCGATTTGATGGAAAGTCTCTGTACAGCAAACTTTGCTGACAATGAACATTCCTTTAAGCGAGGGATACCTATTCCACAAGTGCCCAATGATGAGTTTTTATGTATATGATAGATCTGGGTAGTTTGGAAGATTAATAATGTCAGCAACAGTTTTTTTGCTGACTGGTCATGCATTTGAATTGCACTGGATTTTCTTTACCAGAGGATGCTTATTTGAATGGTTACAAAAGTCAGCTGACTCAGTTTTTATTACTGGCATTTCTCTTGAGTAAGCTTGGCAAATGCTTTAACCTCTTAGTTATGCAGCCTAAATAGGGGGAATAATGCTCTATTGCTCTCCTCACAATGCTTTCCCAACTCATCTCTTCCTAGAGCTTTGCAATTCTCAAGGAATTTTCTAAGCAAGTCTGTTCCTGTTTTATTCCGAGTCATTTCATGCCAGTTCCTCTCAAGCGAGGCATCATGGATGACATGGTCTTGACTGTGTTGTCTCTATGTTGGTCATTATTTGGGAAGCAAGGGAAATCCCAATAATGAAAGCCAAAAAACCATCTAACTCAGGGTCTTCCTCTCTTTACCCATTTGTTGAAATGTGTCGAAACACAGCCCTTTCTGACCACAAATTAACTTATCCTTGGCTTTTCTGCTGTGTTGGTTCTCTGTCATTGAGGAATGTTTGCAATAAATCAGTTTTTATTTCATGCTTTCTACATGTTCATGTGCAGCATTGGCCTGGTTCAGATAATAAACTCCTAGGGAACATTTGCCAAATTAACTCTGTACAACATTTAACACGTTCTATGGTGCACGTAAGCTATCCTTTTAAAAAAAGTGATTCATTAAATAGCATATAAAATATTTTAATTAATTTTTAAAATAATATAAATCCTTCTCCAGTATTGTTTACACATTGTTTTATTTGTGTCAGCTCTGTCAAGTTGGCCTAAATAGGAGGAAGTGATATTACCTCAAAAGATGTCAAATGTGCTTGAAAGAAAATAAAGATTCTAGGACTCCTAGAAAAAAAAAATCTTTATAGTTAAAACTGCCAAAATCAAGGAAAAGGATATTAGACATATTATCAAAGAACCCACTTTACAGAGTGATTTAGAATATTATGCATTGTTTTGAATAAATGTTTCCTAGTCTATCAGGAAACACTTATGTTTGTTAGATTTTAAGAGAAACTATAACATTTTACCAAGCAATATAATAACAGATTTCCTGGGAACTAGTAACAGCTTGGGCAAAAGGAAGGTTGGAGAGAACATATTTGCTAAATTCTCTTCACTCTGTCCTGGGGTAAAGGAGATTGATACCAAATGAACTTTGAAGGCCACTAAGGATGGAAGGAGTTCTGCTTTAGTAGCCTTAAAGAAATTGGCAACTTTGAATTTCCCCTTTCTGACTTGTCTTTACCATAACAGCCTTCTGATTTCTGGACAGATTCTATGAGCTTGCCCTTCTTAAACACATAGTATCAACTTTTATTTATTTACCTACTTAATTATTCTTCTACTTCCAGGGAGGAAATATGAATAAAACAGTAAAACATAGGAGCTGCAATTAAAAAAACTATTAATATTAAATAAAAGACTAAGGTCAAGTGCCAAAGGAGATAACAGGCTGCCATTATCATTCTAACTGCATTTCCCATTAAATACTGATCAAGCTATGTTGTTATTTATAAATTAGTTCCTTGTAAATTTGCTTAGAGTGAATCAATGCCCCTGGAGCACAGAATTTCCTCTGTGAGTTTAATCGTTATGTGTGTGTGTGTGTGTGTGTTTAACTGAGAAAAACTGATCATCATGTTTTTCAGTTCTAGTTGAACCCACCACCCAGATAGTCTCATTTATGGTTACTCACATTATTTCAATTACTCAACAGCCATTGACCACCCATTCTGCCAGCCACTAGGCTGGGTACTGGGGCTGTAAGGGTGAAGGAGATATGATCCTTGCCTATAAGGAACTAAAATGTTGACTGAAGAGAAACTTAACTTAAAAATCGTGAGGTAATGCAACACAATAGATCATTGGGGCATATTTGCTGTGTATAAAGAAAATAAACAAAATGATAGAAAAAGATGCATATGAACATAAGCATTAATGAGCTGACAAGAAAATAAGGAATTACTGGATTAAAATTTGAATGAAAGTGAGACCAACATGACTTTTGACAGTGTACACTCTTAAACTCAATTTTGCCAGCAATGGATGTATATTAGAAAGAGTTTTAAAAATACCATGAGTGAGAGAATCCCACAATCAGAGTGCTTTGGTTCAAGTCCTAGCACTAGCTACTGACTCCAGCTTTCCACCAGTGCAGACACTGGGAGGTAATGGTGATAATGGTGGTAACTGGGTTCCTGATAACCATGCAGGAGACTTGGATTGAGTTTTGACTC